GAGTCGGAATTCTGGGCTTGAGACCCCAGTGCCCATGCCGGGTTTCTTGGCTATCCATGTGCAAGCCACTAGTGCCAAAATAGTGTATATCTATTTAGGAAAATCATACTAAACGACGGAATACATTTTCCAGTTCATTTTCAAGTTTCAGCCAAACATCGGAAAATATTATCATTTTCTTGGAAATTCATTTCTAGAAATATATTTTCTAGAAATATCACATATTCCGCGAAATAAACGAAGCCTAAATGGACAGTTGAAAAGACCATGTTACACATTAATCTAATATAATTTTTGAAAAATCCTAATTCTCCTCTCGTCTCTTCTCTTTTACTCGGCTGTGCCCTGCCCCGCTCTGTGTCCCCCATTCAACTGCCTGCACCACGGCTACACCGTCGACTCGATACAAGGACAACAGCGACAATCTTGTGCTTAGAACAGCCACTTCGATTTTAGATTATGTCTTATCTAATCTATGAAATTAGTGATGATATATTCACTTAATAAGTCGAATTTCCATGTCGTCAACATAAAATGTCACTATACTATATTAGATTGATGGCAGACCAGAATGGAATTGCATAACAAACATCAAGGTGCAAATGATAGGTTTCAAAAGTACGGCAAGTGTTGACGTGTGCATACTCCGATTCGTCTTTGACGTGTCGAGCTCCTTTTTGTTGCATTTGAGCACCACAAAAAGAGAAGAAGCCCTCCTAAATTAGGAGGAGCCCCCGATACTTAAGATAAAAGTGTATTTAATGGGCAAGAGAAATAACAGGTTGCTAGGCCATACCTTTGCCAATGGATTATTATCTTGTATTTATAGTGTAGGTGAATGGGCTAACTCTCCTTGTATGGACCATCCACCTTTAAGCCTCGTGCCTTTTAATTCATAAAATACAATAATTCATGAATCAAACTTAATTTTTTGATTAAATGTGAGTCCAACCAGAGATATTGATGGGCTCCAACTTAAACACTCTTTTGATGATCTTCCTAAAGGATGGGAGAGAGAGGGAGAGAGAGTTTTATTCGCGTATGGTGAAGGCACGCTATATACAGCCAAATATTTGATTTTCGAATTCTTGCGACAAGAAATTCACCATGGATTTTGTCCAAATCAATAGAAATTATTTAGATAAGACAAAATTACCTTACCAATGTCTACTTTCATGTTGATCCTTGAACTAGTTCTTGTTGAAAATTGTGCACTTTGAAATGTCCCACATAGTTAAATCAACGAACGTTGTTGGTGTTCGGTCCTACCTAACAATTATCTCAAGTGATGGAGAATTATGTGCTTGCCCTCTTGATAAATTTTAATATAGAGAAAATAATAATGCCGATTGACCTATTTAAATTTATTCCTTTGAAAATTATTATAATCATGTCATGGAGTGTCTGTGCATCAATCATGCACGGCCCAATTTCGGGTGTGCGTGAATTTATTCTTCACATCTTGTGAATTGTTACATGATAATTAGGTCCGTTGACATTAGATTGACTTGTGTTTTAATGTGCTTATAAAGAGATAATTGAGTTTCGGGTATTAATCCAATTTAGTTTGTGGTTTTTCGTGATATTAATCCAATTTAACGGAAACTAACAGAGAGTAAATTTGTCACAAGTGTACAAATTTGGCATTTTTTATTGTCAAAAAATTAATTTTGGATAAATTTGTCATAAATGTATCAGTTTAGAGTTTTTCGTAGTATAACTCTACATAAAAAAAAATTGCTATCTTTGCGCCCTCGAAGTAACATTTTTCTGTAGAAATTTATTGTATCTTTTATGTATGCCTTTTCTGTTTCATTTTCCCATTTTATGTACTTTGATTGAAAGCCATTCAAAGGATAATCATGTGAGGCTGTCTTTTGAAAGTTAATTAAATGAATATTTCTCCTTAGGGTGCATTTATTTCGTGAAAAATTAATAATTTGAACAACATTTTCCTAAAAAGGATCACTTGTATCGCTTATTGAATATACGAAAAGTATTTTCATCTTTTACAAAAACATCGACAACAATTTATGTATAAATATTTTCATGCACAATAAAAATATAATTCGTTCGTTCATTTTCGGAAACGATACATGCGATCGTTTTTAAGAAAAAAAATTTTCAAGTCATTTATTTTCTGAGAAATAAATAAAATCCCGATGTGTGAACTATATCACATAATAGTGACCGATGCTTCTTTATTGAATCTAGAATTTCTTTTTCTCTTTCAACCCGAAAATTAAAGTGTCTATTTGAGATAAATTTTGCTACGACACGAGATACAAACTCGACTCTATAATAATGTTAGTGAACTTGTATTTATGTATGTACGTATGTTAATCATGTTCATGTCCCAATTAGGTTAACTAATTCAGCTGGTGAGATCACTACATGCTCGCATCGTGCTTTGTATTGAAATCCATTTCAAAGAAATGGTCAATGCATCCCAATGCCCCACCATGTACATTCAATATCAAATGAACATTTAGCAGCCCCAACATCTTTTTCTTTTCCAATAAATAACAAAAATCTTATGTAAACAAAACAAAATTGTTGTTGCTCAGAAAGAAAAATACCCATGTGAACATTAGTTGATGGACGACCTCTATACGTACCCAATTACCTAATCGATACATATGCTCACGCATCATTCTCCGGGTACTAATTTACGGACCTCATCGAATCGGGCGTCAAGATCGCTTGTGAATTCAACTTCGTAACTAAGTGGAGTACCCCTCCATGTCGTTGATTTTACTTTCATATGGAACATCGTAATATTCTCTTAATCTTAGTTTAAAATTACCGTATTGATGATGTATTTTCCTCTCTGTTTCCAGCCAACGGAAGTGCACCACTTGGTTTGACCGATTGACATGATAAGGTGAGCCCCCCCCACCCACCGTGACATTGAACGGTCTGAGTTTGCCCATTTCTTGCGAAAATTGGGACCAGCAACACTAGCCTCCAAGAGTCAATCGAGGCACGTCACGTTTGGAACAAGCAAAGTTGGAGTTTTTCTTTGGAAGACTAGTCTCGATTTTGATCTTTCAAATTGGAATGATCAGTAGACATTGGCATCCACGAACTGTCCAAATCATATATTTGCTACTATTCTCGTTGTTGCGTAGAAGATGGGCCAATAAACAAGAAATAAATGAGGCAGGAGTACATTCTATTCTCTACCCAAGCCAAAAAAAAAGAATGTGAGAGGCAGAAATATGTTAGAAAATAAGGATGTTGGAAATTTTTCAATACATCTCTCATCTGGAATTAGTATTCTGAAAACTGAAATATTTATACTATCTTTGAAAAGAGACATGTCCCTTTTAATCTCCATTCTAATTGCATTCTTCTCATCAAAAGACTATTTTCAAAAGCCAGAAATCGTAAGAAAAAAAGAAAAGGTGAAAGTAGAAAATTGCCCCTCACATTTCGAATTCGAAAACTACCCATCATCTTAAAAAGAAAAGAGAAAGATTACTCGAATTTATCCAAGAAATACGGATGATGCATGTAGTGTACGTTGGTTCTAGTTTCTCATTAGCAGTTATCAACATGATTCTGTTTAATGTGTGCGTCCGGCGGACGTCTCCTCCTTATTGGTGAGTCATTATTTGTTATTGGATCTATTTTTTTCTCCAGAAGGTAATTTAAAAGTCGTAATTTTAATTGCCTGCAAATGAAGTTACCCTGACTTTGTTTTCTCGAGTGATGTATACATTTTGCATAGAAAGAGCTTTTGATCGGTTCAAATGGCGAAAACGGAGCACGTTCAAAACGTCAGCCTCACGCCAAGACAGGAATAGAGACTTCTAGCCATTCGCACAAAAGGAGGAATAGAGAAGCCCAAGCGAAGCAACGTATGTATCCAATGTAAACGCCAAACGTCCGACATGATATTATCCGCGTTCACGTGAATAATTTTTGTAAAAAATTATGAATTGTTTTCTTATTTATTTTCTTTTTCTTTCTTTCTTCTTTTTTTCCTTCTTCCTCTATAAGTCGGGGCCCTCATCGGCCCTTGCCTACGGCCGGCACCATCGCCAAGGCTCGACGGAAAAAAGGAGAAAATTTCGGAATTTTTTTTTGAAAAATTGCAAATATTGTCATCGTTAGTGTCAACTGTGCTCATAGGAGACGACCGGCGCCGATTGATTGCCACGTCAACGATTTCCGTCCAAAATTAGACGAAACGATTACATTGGTAAATTGTCAAAAGGTTGAGAATTAAATTGGCTAAATTCAAAAGTTTAAAACCCAGGGGAGGGCACAAGGCAGCCATTTTCAGTGTAGATAGCTTCGATCAAGTTTGGTGACTTCCAATGGCAAATGTTGACGGGTTCAAAACATTAAAAGTCACACCAAATAAGGAATCAACAAATTCGAGCAACGTATATCCGCCGTCTCACGCCATTTTCCTAATTGTGTCGTTGTCAATAATGTCACATTGCCTAGGAAAAATACGATACAATAATAACTTTTTAATAGTAGAAATTTCCAATGCTCATGCATCTCTTGATAACAACTAAACAACGAACAAGTCGAGAAAACGATTATACGATCACCTTCCCATAATTAGATCCAATGATTTATTATAATTGACTAGCTATATTATGATTTTGATCATTAATGGTGTAATTACACTATAGTTATCATTGAATTATTCTAATTACATTATTCATGATTGTAATCTAATCGGAAATGATCTAACTATTATTGTAATTATAACCCATTATTAGAAAGCAAATTAGAGTTATAATCTAGTAATTAGGGAATGATATTTGAATCAACTGTTTAATTAAATCAACTTAAGACTATAAAAAAATTAAATCAACTTATGCTATTGAATCGATGGTAATTAAGAATGCATATATATATATTGGCGTTTTTTTGGCAAGGTGTATAGGAAAAAAAAAGTCTTATACCTTAGTAATTGTCAACAACCAACATACATCAACATCAGGCAAGCTAGATCTACATAAAAACTCCACACCGGAAAAGTTTGGCAAGATTCAAAATCCGCCGCAATCGTCAAATCCGGCATCGTAGCTCCCCGCGTCGGACACCATGTCTCCGATCAGCAGCCCGCCGAGCAGCCCTCCCGCCAATCCGGCCCCTAGTCCCAGCCCGAGCTTGTTCTTCTTCGGAGCCTGTTGCGCCTGCTGGTTCGGGTAATAACCGTAGCCCGCCGGCGGCGGAGGCTGCGCGTACCCGTAACCCGCCGGGGGCGGCGGAGGATACCCGTAACCACCGTACTGCGGCGGCGGCGGCGGATACGCAGCCACCGCCAGCGGAGGAGGAGGCGGGTATGCATATGCGGGAGGCGGGGGCTGGTACACGCCGTGCGGGGGAAGCGGGTAAGCTGCGCCGTAGGACCCGCTCGGCCCGGCCTGGACGGGATAAGCCGTGACCGCCGCCACGTCAGCCTTGGGGGCGGACGGATGATGATGATCGGCGGCCGCCACGTCAGCGGCCAGCTTGTCGCTGAACTTGTAGGAGAAGTGGAGCTCCCCCTTGGGCTTCCCGGACGGCTTGCGCACCTGGTAGGTCACCGTCGGCGGGTGCGAGGACGCCTTGCCGCCGCCGCCGCCGTCGGAGGAGTCGAGGAGCTCCTTGACGGGGACGACGACCTCGCCGATGTCCTTGTCGCCGAGGGCGCGGTCGCAGCGGAGCTTGAAGCGGAGGGTGAGGCGGCCCTGCTGGGCGGAGGCCTCGTCGACGTGGAGCTTGACGGGGAAGTTCCAGGCGGGGTTGCGGCCGCCGTCGCGGTCGACGGGGGACCTGGACTTCTGGGGGCCCCGGGGGTCGCCGTCGAGGGAGACGGCCACGTAGACGTCCATCTTGGAGATGAGGTTCACGTCCTTGAGGTCCCTGGCCGAGATGACGGTCAGATCCAAGCTCCTGTACTCCATGGCCGGCCGGAGTAGAGAGAGAAAGAAGAGAGAGAAAGGGAGAGAGAAGAGATGGAAGTTCTGGATGAGCCCGCGACTGCTTGGTGGTGGTGGGAAGCGAGCAAGAAAGATAAAGGAGGAGAGGTCAACGCCGCGGGGTTCGTCCAACCGGCGTGCGTGGTTAAAGTTAACCCAACCATGGTTGAGGACTCTTCGAGTCTTGGTCTTGGGTGGAGGAACAATTGAATCATTGGGGGCTGTTGACCAAGTCCTTTGGGATTTTGACTTTTCAGCGGTGCGAATGCGATCGTGGGCCATGAACGATATCGAATTCCAACAAAAAATATACCGTATATTATACCCTTTTCTTATATTTTAACTTTTTAATAATAATTTATCACGCGTCTAATCTTTTATGATGACCGAATTCCAACAAAAAATGCACGCATATCATCTTATTTAGGTGCATCTAATCAAACTATATTCATTGCACATAAGCAAGTCCTTTAAAGGTTTCATCTCGATTTTCGTCTAAATCTCGAGATCACTGGAATGTAAAATTTTCGAAAAATATTCTCTCTTCTTAAAGAAGACAAAAATACGGAAAAAATTTCAGGGTGCAATCGCGGGGCATGACCCTTCATATATACCATTTTTCTAATTTTTCGTCGTGATCGATTTCCAACATAAATGCTCACAAATTGTCTTATTCGGGTGCATCTAATCAAACTCTATTCACGCAAAATACAGAATCTATCGCGTTCGGGTCAAACATTTGATCACCCAACCGGTTATATTCTCTCTTTCGAAACTTCTAGCCATCGTGTTCTTTCTTTTTTTGCCCTTTGTTCTATATTTTTTTTATGGAGTTGCTGATGATATTTGAGTTTTTTTCCTGTCCCAAGAAAGTTCTCATGAAGATCCCCTTATAATGTTTGACTTAGTCATAGTGGGATGTCATCATGTTCACATGACAAATAGGTGCTTGTGGGAATTTAAAGTTAAATTGGACAAATTGAATATGGTGGGTGGAAAAGTAGGGAGGAACACCTAGTATTTGGCAATTGCACATCAACCACAAATGTCCTTGTCAACCACATCAGAACTCTTGCCCTTTTTTCAGTTTCTTGCACTTTTTCTTTCAATTTATACCAATTCAATGCACTCCATCCGAGCCCTCGTGCATCATGTACCTTATTGTTTTTTTTCTTTATTTCTGCCCTATCTCTAACTCTTCCTTCTCTCTGACTTGCAAAACACGAGAGTCCATCCCTCAAGAGGGATACGCCAAGGGGATCCTCTTTCCCCTTATATTTTCATTATTTTGGCCAATGTGTTATCCAACCTACTTAATAAAGCGGTTCAAGATGGAAGCATCACTGGGATCAAGTTGAATAGAAACTGTCCCACGCTATCACACTTACTTTTTGCAGATGACTCTATCTTTTTCCTAGATGGGCAGATTAAAGAATGCCAAAATGTGGAGGCAGTTTTAAATAAGTATTGCTTCGCAACAGGACAAGCCATCAATCTCAACAAATCAGGGATTTTTTTCAGCAACGAATGTCCAAGGAGTATTCGCAGGAATATGGCAAATGAATTAAGGGTGCCGGAGATAGAAAAAACAGGAAAATACTTGGGGATTCCATCAGATTGGGGACAAACGAAAAAGCAAATGTTTGCATGGATCTTGGCAAGAGTCAATACGAAACTCGAAGGATGGAAAGAGAAACTAATAACCAAGGCAGGAAAAGAGATACTGATTAAAGCAGTGGTGCAGGCCCTCCCACATTATGCAATGTCAATTTTTAAAATCCCCATATTCATTTGTCGTTCGATCGAACAAAAAATTGCACCATTTTGGTGGAAAAACAACGAATCCAAGACGGGGATACATTGGAAGAGATGGGATGTTCTGAAAAGAAGAAAGGATAGCGGGGGAATGGGGTTCAAGGATTTGATAACCTTCAACAAGGCCATGCTTGGTAAACAAGAGTGGAGAGTTTTTCAAAACCCATCAAGTTTATGGGTGCAGCTTTTGAAAGGGCTCTACTACCCCAATAACAATTTCTGGAATGCAGGAAAGGGGTCACATTCATCGTGGGGATGGCAAAGCATACTAATGGGCAGAGAGCACATCTCCAAAGCAGTAAAATGGAGTGTGGGTAATGGAGAAGACATAAGCATTAGAAATGATCAGTGGCTTCAGAGAGGAATAATTGGAGGTGAGGCAAGACAGGGGGAACCTCAGAAAGTGGCGGATTTAATTAACCAGGAGGACTATAGTTGGGATGAACAAATGATAAAGAGTATGTTCGATGAGCAGATAGCTGAGCAAATATTAGCAATTCCGCTAAGACCTAACGCTGAGAAAGACAAGCTAGTGTGGACCTGCTCCAAGTCAGGACAATATTCAGTGAAAAGTGCCTACAACTATGCAAGAGTGACGGATGAACAACAACAACCACACAGAGCCACATCTTCCTATCAACCACCAAAAGCACTATGGAATCTGATATGGAACCTGAACACCCCTCCGAAAGTCAAGTTGTTTATTTGGAGTATGTGCCAAAACGCTATTCCCACGGCAGAGAATTTGCACACAAGGAAAATCATACCTGAGCCCTTATGCCCTCTTTGTCGCAAGCACCCAGAGACTGTAGAACATATCTTTCTTCTCTGTGAATGGACCAAACAGGTTTGGACGCACCCTGATTTGAACATTATATTCACAAATAAAGGCTTGAGACGAATGGAAGAATGGTTTCTGGAGAAAGGAAACAATTTTAACAAAAATCCCTCACCTGAGCTACTAGCCGAGATCCTATGGAACATCTGGAAGTCAAGAAACAATCACGTCTTTCGTCAACAGAACCCAGAGCCAAGGTGGGTCGTGGAAGCCGCCATGGTGTCACGCAAGAACTTCGAGAAGTGGAACCCGGGAAAGAAAAAACACAATCGACCGATCGCTCACTCACCTGCCATATGGAAGCCACCGCCAGAAGGTACCCTCAAAATTAACGTTGATGGGTCCTTTGTGGAAGGAGATAACGAAGGTACTGTCGCCTGTGTATGCCAAGATGCCTCTAGGAAGATCGTTGACGGTTTTGCAAAGAAGGTGCGAGCGTCTTCTCCGGCGCAAATCGAAACCCTAGCCTGTTGGGAAGCACTTCACCACTTTAGTTCGTGCTCTCACTTAAAGTACCAGCTTGAGTCAGACTGTAGCTGTCTGATAAATGCCCTCACAGATCAAGATAAGCCATCCTGGGAAATAGACTCACTGATCTCTGCGTGCAAAGCTCTGATAGGCCACTTCAAAAGCTTACAATTGGCCTATTGCCCAAGAGAAGCAAATCAAATAGCAGATTGGGTCTCTAAGGCCCACAGACGAAACGAGCTCTCTAGTAATTGGACCTCTAATCCCCCGAAAATCCTATGGGATCTAATGTGTTCTGAGGCTCCTTTTTCATGTAATAGTGGTATCACTTAAAGCGATGAATGAAGCAAGTATTTTCTTCCATCAAAAAAAAAAAAAAAAAGAATCCTGCACCTATAATACTAGTGTCCTCACCTCCTCAATCACTTTACTAGCAGGACCGCATCATCATGTACCCTATGTTCAAACGAGGAACCGATGAACAATCATAATCGCTTTTCAATCGTTCGAATGCAAGATCGTCTCGATGCACGTCGATTTTCGTCAACATCTTTTTTGACACATTTTGACAGAAAACGTAAAAGAAGAAATATTGGGGAATTTGTATCTTTTGTATTGTGTATTTTGTACATGTACATGCCACTTTTTATAGTGCAAAAGGAAATCAAAGAAAGAATAAATATGATACATTTTCCTATTTTATCTTAATTGACTGAATCAATTATTTCTCAATCTCTGTGATTAGAATCGCAGCAACGGACCAAATCATATCTTTCTCCAACACTCCCTCTCAAGCTGGCGACTTATTTATGTCAAAGACGCCTAGTTTACTCAGTAGATATGTATACGGTCTTTTACACAAGGGTTTAGTGAAAATGTCTGCAGACTGCTCCACAGTTCCAATTCCTCGAGTTGTAACAATCCCTTCTTGAATTTTTTCTCGAGTGAAATGACAGTCAACTTCTATATATTTTGTCCTTTCATGAAAAATTGGATTTGTTGCTAATTTTAGTGCTGCATCATTGTCACAGAAGAGTTCACTTGCTCCATTAATTTATACCTCAAGATCCGATAACAAACCTCGTATCCAAACTATTTCACAAATAGTTTTAACTATAGCTCGATATTCAGATTCAGCTGATGAAAGAGAGACAGTGGATTGTTTCTTTGTCTTCCATGAGATCAAAGAATTTCCCAATTTAATGCAAAAGCCAGTGATAGATCTTCTGGTCATTGGACAAGTCGCATAATCTAATCACAATAAGCCGTCATTTTCATGTTGCAATCACGAGACAATAGGATTCCAAGTCCTGGACATCCTTTCAAATATTTCACGACTTTTAATGTTGCATTCATGTGGGACTGCTTCGGATTATGCATAAATTGACTGAGTATTTGTACTGCATAACATATATCGGGCCTAGTCATGGTGAGATAAATTAATTTCCCAACAAGTCGCCGATATCTCGATGGATCTTTAAGTAATGGGTCTTCGTCCGGTGATGATAAGCTCTTATCATATTCAAGCATTGTGAACTTGACATTTTGTTCAACGGGAATAATAGTTGGCTTACATCCCGATAATCCTGCTTATGATATGATCTCCAAAACAAATTTCCGCTGGCTTAGACATATTCCTTTGTCGGATCTAGCTATCTCAATACCAAGAAAATATTTGGGAGGTCCCAAATCTTTAATATGGAAGGTAGATCACAATTTATTCTTGAATTTTCTAACAACATAATCATCATTTCCCATAACGAGCATATCATTGACGTATATTAGTAAATAAATCGATGAAGTACCTTTGGTCCATGTTAATAGAGCATAATCATGCTTAGAATGCTTAAAACCTGCATTTGTGAGTGCAGTGGTGAATTTGGCGTACCATTATCGAGAAGCCTGTTTGAGTCCATACAGGGATTTACGAAGACGACATGCCCAAGACTCTCCCTATCTGC